GAAGAGGAGAAAGGATATGGCTAAGATTGATGATCAAAGGAAAACACATTTTTTTATTTTTTTTAAGAGGAAGTAACTTGAAGGAAATACAACACTGTGTTAGCAGCTGGATGGAAACATGATGTTTACTAAATATTCTTGCTTTTTCCTTTATGAATCTCTCAACATAAACAATAAGATAGATGGTGTGCAAATGTGCAAAAGGGGACCTCCAGAAGGGACAGTTGAAGTTGGGCAACACCAAGCTAGGCCAGTTGCCAAGTTGCAGGAATGCGAAAAAAGCACATCCCTGCCCTTACAGTATTATATTGAAGTGGTAAAGAAATATTCACAATTCTATGATAGAGGTGAGCCAGGAAAGACCTCCTGGAGGAGGTGACACCAGAACTGTAATTAAATATCAGGGGTGGAACCCACCAAACTGATGAACAGGTAAATAAAACATGACATATCCATACAATGGAATGTTTCTTGGCAATAAAAAATAAAAGTACTGATACATGCTACACCGTAGATGAACCTTAATAACATAATGCTAAATGAAAGAAGCCATTCACAAAAGGCCATATGTTAGATGATTCCATTTTTATAAAACTGGCAGAACGGGCAAATCTATAGAAATGGCAAGTAGATTAGTGGCTGCCAGAGGCTAAGATGGAGGGGGGTTGAGGAAGTGAAAGGGAGTTGTGGTGGTTGTGGGGACAACTGCTAATGGGTACAGGTTTCCTTTTTGTTTCAAATACATAATAAATCAAATGAACATAACTGTACTGACTGTTAATGTGCATGGGGTTTCATTGATGAAAATGTTCTAAAACTGATAGTGGTGATGGTTGCACAATTCTGAATATACTAAATATCATTGAATTGTACTCTTTAAATTGAATTTTTTTTGCCACAAGATTTTTTTTTAATAGGTTTAATCTTTATTGTTGAAAGTATTACAGATGCCTCTTCCCTCCCCCCATTGGTCCCTTCCACCCTGCTCCTGCCGCTACTCCAGGCCTTCCCCACACTATTGTTTGTCCATGGGCTATGCATATATGCATATAAGTTCTTTGATTAATCTCTTCCCGCCCTCCCCCCCCTTCCCTCTGAGATATATCAGTCTGTTGCATGTTTCAATGTCTCTGGATCTGTTTTGTTCATCAGTTTATTTTATTCATTACATTCCATGTGTAAGTGAGAGCATGTGATACTTGTCTTTCTCTGACTTATTTTGCTTAGCACAATACTCTACAGGTCCATCCATGCCGTCCCAAAAGGCAAGAGATCCCTCTTTCTCACAGCTGCGTAGTATTCCATGGTGTAAATGTACCACAGCTTTTTTTATCCAACCATCTACTGATGGGCACTTGGGCTGTTTCCAGATCTCAGCTATTGTGAACAGCGCTGCTATGATCATGGAGGTGCATATATTCTTATTCTTAATAATGCAAACACAGGATAACAGTCTATTCAGATGATGATGAGAAATGCCTTGCAATGGTTCTCAGTGCACTGAGGAATTTTTTAGAGCCCAATAGCAGTATCCTGTGTTATCTATATAGGTTTACTAATGATCTTTTGAAAGCATAAGAATTATGTTGTAAGTCCACTGACTTAACCATTATTGAAATTCTTCCACTCTTTCCACTTAATGAAAGGAAGCAAGAGATCCATTTGGTTGATACTTGGAGCCTTGGCACCCACCAGAGAGCCAGGCACATAGTAGGGGTACAAGTAATATTTATAAAATGTATGAAGAAGCTACTGTCCTACCTATGACAAGTTAGATAGTAAATATATAAAACTTTCAGTAATAATTGCCTCAAAATTCATTTGTGAGAAAATATAACTATTTTTTAACTCATCCTCCATGAAAGCCCCCCATTTCAGATTATTAAACACTCATCTTCTAAGATAAGGACAAAGACTGGATATCTTTAATCACCACTTTTATTCAAACAGACATCACATGGCTGCTGTTATGATACACTGAGAAGTCCACAAAATTACTGCCCCCACCACAAAAAGCATTAATTATAAAGAAACACCAGACAAACTCAAATTGAGGGACATTCCACAAAGAAACTGGTTTGTACACTTCAAAATGTCAAGTTATTAAATACAAAGAAAGGCTGAGGAACTGCTCCACACTGATAGAAACTCAAGTCTTAACAGTGTGTGATGCTGGATCAAATTCTGGACCTACAGAGGACATTTTGGGACAATCTATAAAATCCAAATAAGGTATATAGAGTAGAGGGTTATAGCGTATCGATGTTAATTATATCAAGGATTTTGGTGATGTGATGGTGGTAATATAGGAGAGTAATTTTAAGAAAGAACGTCCACCATGACAAGTACCATCAATACTTCCTGGCTCTATAGCACAAGTAGATTAGGATAATGGGCAACCTGGATATGATTCTCCACTCGGTCACCTGCAAGCAATCAGTTGTGAAAGGACTGAGAACACAAAGTAATGTGTTGACACTAAAAATGAGAATTCACAAAGCACAGTAAAAAAGAATGCCAAGATGGGCAGTAAAGGGAGTAAGAGTCAGAGGAAGCATAAAGCATTCAAGTATTAGATAAGAGCACTCAAAAAGGCAGATAGCCGGCTGGCCTAGGAACTGGGGTAGTAATCACGGACAATAGGTATGAGAGGTATAAACAAACCATGAGCCTCAAGCCTAACAGCTTCAATCATATTTGTTAACAGAAGACCTGCATTCTGTTACCCTTTATTAAAAACTAATTGTAAATACTATTCAGCAATAAAAAAGAAAATACTGGCACATGCTACAAGAAATATCCTCAAAAACATTATGGTAAATAAAAGCCAGACACAAAAGACCACATATTGCATGATGCCATTTATATGAAATGTCCAGAAAAGGCTGAACTGTAAGGACAGAAGGTAATTGGTGGCCTGGGACTGAGGATGGGAATGGGGATTAGCTGTAATCCCAGTTTGATTACAGTACATAACAATTTATTTGTAATCCCAAAATTGAGGCTCACGCCTCAAGTTTTCTCATTTGCTATTCATAACAACTATAGTACCTAACTTACAGGGGCTCTTTGAAGATCAAATGAGATAATTCAGGTAAAAGCTTAGAACAATATCTGGCACTTAGTAAGGGTTCAAGATGTACACACACATGTCCAGCTAAAAAACTTAAAAAATAAAATGCATGTAAAAACATAACATGCATGTAATAAATTACAGACATAGGAAAAAAGTCAATTCATACTTATTTAAAGATTCAGCAACAGCCCTGGCCAGGTGGCTCAGTTGGTTAGAGCGTTGTCCTGTACATCAAAAGATCGAAGGTTCAATCGCCAGTCAGGGCACGTGTGGGAGGTAACTGATGGATGCTTCCCTCTCACATTGATGTTTCTGTCTCTCTCTCCCTTCCTCTCTCTCTAAAAATCAATAAAAACATATCCTCGGATTAGAATTTAAAAAAAGATTCAGCAACAAACTATAGTTCAACCTAGACCTATTCCTTAATCAAGGTAAATAGCTCAAAATACATTGGGAGAACTTTTAAAATATACACATAAATGGTAAGAACAAAGGAAACACACTAAATGTATTATTTCCCTAATATTTAGGACCTAAATAAAGTATAAGGAAATGTTGAGATTCTTCCTCAGCCTCTCATCTTCGAAAGTTGACATTTTGATGTGCAATTCCCTAATTACATAATTTTTCAGTACTTTCCACATTTTTTCTATACATAAAAGTCCTTTATGGATACGGGACTTCCATTTTATAATTTTACTCTAGTAATTTTTTTATTATAGAGCAGGCTGTCATTCATCTTAATATAATCTTGGACCAAAAAAACCCAGAAGTCACTACTGCTGAGGCCAAAGGCACCTACCTCATTGACATACATACACTCTTCCATGTTTTCTTGTCCTTCATAACATACACTATGGTACTGGAGGAATCAAAGGTCTCTTCCCATCAGATGTCAAATAGTGATATAGATACTGCCTCCAGAACTCAATCCTGTCCATTGACTCTTTAAATACAGGTATACAAAGTGAAAAGTTGCTAACCACCACTCCACCAGACAAGTAAATACTTGCTTAATTTTAATCTTTTGAAATAACTACTCCATTGAACATAACCTGTATATCTTTGGTTAAACAATATTGTCTCACCAGCATCAACATTTACATTCTCTTATTATCTCTAAGACCATTTATAAAATGAGCTTGTTTTCATTACTCTCTAATTCCTTAAGTATTCCCAGAAAAATTTCCTTACATGAGAAAGTAGAGACAAATTTCAATATTTGATAAATTTTATCTCGATAACTTTGAAAACAAATTTACTCTTTAGATTGCATTATAAAAAATACATTAGTCTTCACATTAATTTTACATGGAAATATATAATTGTTTGAATATTTAAATATAGCTTCTCTTTACCAAAAAAGTGTCACTCAAAGCCCTACTTACACAAATAATTTAAATGCACAAATGCAAACACACTTTACACAATATTGTCCACATACTACTTAACTTGGGACAATTATAATAAAAATCTATGCAAGATACTGAACGAGTACAAGATTAATAAAATATTCATTGTGGCGGTAATTCAATTTTCACTATTAAAAGAAATTAATGCACTCTTGAATACACAAAAAACATCCAACTGTTTTATCTAATCTGCAAATGAAGCCGAAGCGTATTTTGACAAAGGGGCACATCTTGTAACCTACCAAATTCTGAAAACAACTCATTTCTAATTTAACTGAAATTATAATTTTTACAATTTCAAGTTTTTAAGCTTGTCTAAAATAATGATTACAAGAACTTAAGTAAACATTTCCAAAATGTTTTAAAAAACATCAGTACTGTGTATTTTAATATTTTTAGTAATATAAATTTTTAAATATAAACCTTTTTCCTCTCAAAAAAATGGAACTTAGAAGAGTTTCCAATGTGAAAAAGCTAGTGAATTTTTGTGTTTGATCATTTGAATGATAAGAACTGTCCTCTTTGCATGATGTAATCACAACAGATACGATATATCATAATTACACAGTACATTATTTCCATATGATCCCTAGCTTTTAAATTTACATTAAAAGTATGCAGAATGCCTACTGATAGCACTTAAGGGAATTATACATCTACTTCGTAGAAAAAAAGACACCAATACTCACAAGTAGAATATTTTTATATATTAGCTTCTTGTTTACTTCCTAATCAGTAGGACAGTATTCTTCCTAAATTAAAATTGGAGAATTATTTTAAGCCAGTAATCCACAGTGATATTTTAAGAAAGGAAATTAAAGTATTTTTATATGAGGCAAGGTTAAAGTTGCTTTACCACTAAAAATATAAACATTTGTCCATTTTTCAACATAATTACTGCTTTAAATTTAGAAGTAAAGAAATCAGAACATAACACCATCATAACATACGCACAGGTTAAATAATGGCCCCTGAAATAAAACTACATTTAGAAATCAACTGTTACAACACTATATTTCATTAATTCTAAGATAACAACACACTTTTATCTCTGAAATCATGGTACACTGATATAGTTTCAATGAAATATGGTTTATACAATAGAGTTGAAATTCATGTTTTCCTTTAACATTAACGATACAAAAGAATCCAGAATCCTTGGCTTAAGGATTATTGGACACATCTGTACTAGCTCAAGCAGTGTCCCTGAATAAAGGATCTAAACATATTCTGAGTATCTCAGACCTAATCTGCGTATCTTAACATCTTCTATTGGATCATTAAAATGGTTAGCAAGTTTGCCTGGCCAGCCTGGCTCAGCAGCTGAGCATCGACCCAGGAACCAAGAGGTCACCGGTTTGATTCCTGGTCAGGGCACATGCCCGGGTTTTGGGCTCGATCTCCAGTGGGGGGGAGCAAGAGTCAGCTGATCGATGATCTTTCTCTCATCGATAAAGTTTCTCTCTCTATCTCTCCCCTTTCCTCTCTCTCTAAAAATAAAAACATATTTTAAAAACAGGATATGCTTCCCATTCATTCATTCAGTTCAACAACAAAAAAATAACAAGTTTAAGGAAAACCAAAATAATGTACAAATACATACTTTCTCACTTGCAAAACCAGCCCCCACTTGAGGGGTCAATTTTATTAGATCTTTTCTGATATCAAGATTATAAATAATTGGTTAATGACAACAATCAATGGTCTGCCCAAATTACCAAACCAATAATTTCAGCTCAAGCTATTAAAAAGTAATATGGTAGTGCCTAAAACATTTTAAAGCGATAAGGCCATAAAATAACCTGGATTCTCCTATCAAACCACCAACCCTTCAGGTGCAGGGGAATAAAGGTGACAGAAAAGTATACTCACACTGGCAAGATCACTTTCCCCTTAAGATACAATAATGCTAAAGGAAAACAGATTGTATATTACAGAGATTGTATATGTGCGTGTTGAAATGTGGAAAGTTAGAGACTTGCAGATCCATTTTAAATAAAGCAGAAGGAGTTTGTGCTATGTATATAAAATTACCAGGCAGTTTTTTAAACCTGGATTAAAGATTATGGAATCTTATTATCTGGAATGCTTTTAAAAGAAAGATAAATTATATCTCATTTGTGATTAAGTCGACCTCACTCAAAAGTTGAGATTATAAGTTTCTTCTTTTTAATTATCCAGTCAGAATACAATATTAACAGTGCCACTCTGAAACACACTGAATATAAGTACACATTCATTGTTCCCATTTTTGAAAAGTAAAAATAAGATAGCAATAAATGTTTGCCATATTAATTCTTGTAATATTATAACCTGCTGACATGAAATACAATCATAAAGAATAAATGAGGACAACTTGATTTGGGGGAGAAAATTATATATACTGTGCTAAATTATGTGACATAAATTAAGATGAAGTTCTATAGCAAATGGACAAAGGGTCTTTTGAATCTTTAACAAAAAGGACCTTAAACACTAATTTTAAAATAATATAAAAGTTCTGAAAAATGATGTCTGTAGCAAAATAGTTGAAGGTTAATTTTTTTGCCAAAGTTGGGAGAGCTATGTTCACTAATTACCAAATATATTTCAATTGAAGTCCTGAATCCTCAACAACCTTCAACACAAACAGTTCTAGTTGACCTTACTGAGCAACAATTTGTGTAATAGTCGAGTCATCATTCTATCAGTATATGGCACCTGAGAATATAAACTTCTCAATTCATATATTCTAACAGGCTTAGGACGCTTTTTTTGCTTTTTTCTCGGGCGTTTTTTATTACCATTCCTCTTAGTTCCTACAATGCTGGAAGAATCCTGCACACATTGCTTGGGATAAGAGCTCTTTATAGCTCTTAACTGCTCTTCAGCACCAGTTGATGGAACTGAGTTCGAAAGTATTTTAGCTGGTCTCTTTGCCTTCTCGAACCTACTGACATCAGATTTTGTCTTCTTAAGTTGCATTCCAATAAAAGCCCTCCTGGACTGATATTTGCGACGCAAAAAAACAGAGTATTTTGAAATATACTTTCTAATTATATCATTTAGTTTGGTCCGAATCCAAATGGACTGTTTTTCTGATGTGATTCTGGATTTTTGCTGGAGAATAACTGGTCTGTAAACCTTTTTAAGTAAACCTGGCTTATTATCAGTTGTCGCCTTCCTTCTCTGGACTTTCTTTTTACTTTCTAAATACTTATTTCTCACTGATTTTGGCGAGATTTTGGCAGCATCACCATTTAAGAGAGTTAACTGGAAATTACTTTTCTTCGGAACTTCACCAGAATTCAAGGTCTCTGATTTTGCCAGAAACACAGAAGACCCACTGGGCCCCTGGTGTGACATTAATTCATGTCTTACTGACACTGTCATAAAAGGCGCTGAAGTAGAGCTTTGTACATGAGCATCGTCATCTCCTGCACTGGAGTTCAGGTCACTAAAATGAATCTGAACCCAGTTATTCCTGTCAGGTTCTGATACTTCTATGTTCAGAGGAGGATTAATCACGATTTGTTTATTCAATGGGTCATAATAATTAAAGGAACTCTGTTTGTATTTGTACTGGATGCTAAAGTCCTGATTGTTTTTATCGCTACGGCGCCTTATTTTAGAGAAGTTGAAGGATTCACCTTCCTTCAGCTTAATATTTGAAGAAAGAACATAGACTAAGGCATTGGGGTGCAAAGGCTTCAAAATGTTAGTATATGATTCAAGAAATTCAACTGTTCCAATTTCGATTTTTTTTGGTTTTCTGTCGTTGTGTAAAAGTAAACGCTTCAGTGTTGGCGAGTCTTCCTCTTGTCCACTTATTCTTTTTGTCACTAAGTAACTCATGAGATTGGTTTGAGTTCCATGGCTGACTTTTACAGCCTGGCATCTAGAAGCCACTCGCCATGTTTGTTCATAAGGCCTCTTTTCTGTAGGGTGATGGCTAGGTTTATCTAAGGCTACTGAAAAGTCATCAATATTATAATCACAGTCTAACAGGACTTGAATGAAAGCAGTATCATTAAGGTCAGCCGAGGTCATCTTTTTTTCTTCATTCAAATTTTTTTTTTTTACTTTCCTGGTCTCACAGTCATCATCAAAGTAACAGTGGAAACGACCTTCCTTAAATTCCTTCACAAGAGCATTAATTTTCATGTCATCTTCTCTCATTATTTGAGACCATGTTTTCCCCACAAATGAAGGAGGGACATGAGGCAAGGCTTCAAGAACTGGTTCATCAGTATTATCTTCTATGGCCTCCCTTGTTTTTTTCAGGTTCCTTACAGAATCAACCTTGGGAACAGAGCTTGAATGGGAATCATGGTTCACTTCTTTCAGGTTAAAAGACACCTTCTTAACACCTTCTTGAGGCTGGTCAGCGTCAGATTGATGAGAGGGAACACACTGCAAACTCACCACAGAACCACTAGGTTCACACCTCTTACTTTCTGGATCTGTATGTTTTGACTTCAAAAGGTTATCTTCATCAGCCATTTGAAGAATCACTGATTCAGAAGAGGCATTACAATCTATTGCAGAAACACTGCCTTCACAGCTCTTATCTTTTAGGCCACTAGTTTCTCGATTTTTCCAAATGTTGTCTACTTTTTCAGCTTTCTGCAGTTGACGAGTCGCTGGCTGAGAAGTGTCTTTCCCTTTATATTTTCTTTTAGGATTATTAGATTCACAGCTCTTATCAATATGTTTTGCCTTTTTTTTGTCAGACCCTGGTGACTGGTAAGTCATAGACTGATGAGAGGCATCATTTTGAAAATTTACTTCAGAACCGTAAGACTCACAGGCTGACTCTTCCAGAATAATGTAGTCTTTCTTCTGGTTTACCACTTTGAATGTCTTTCGGGATTGGTTTGACTCTGATTGAGGAGAGGCTTCACAAACATATCCTAGTTCAGAATCACAACAGTCATAGCACTCACCTTCTAGAGCAAAACTTTTTGCATTTATACAGTCAATTCCTCCGACAGTCACTTGAGGTGAGTCAATCACTGGCTGACATTGGATATCAGAATCAGCAATCATTTCACAATCACTATCACCAGTCACCAGGTCCACAAGCAGCATCTTTTGAAGATTTGCTTCTTTGACTGACACTTGAAATTCATTAATTACTATTTGAAGAGGGACATCAGAATCAGACATTATATCAGAATCACTAGTCTTTTCTTCCATGCCAAGATGCACTACCCTCTGAAGGTTCATTTCTTTGCAAACCATTTCAGGTTGGTCAACTTCTAACTGAAGATGAATACCAGAATCACATTTTATTTCAGAGACACTAGGTTCACAGTTCTGATTTTCTAGGTCATTATGATCCTCCTTTTCCAAGTTTATTTGTTTGACAGCCACAGGAGATTGATCAACCACTAACTGAACAGGAGCATCAGAATCACAACTTATTTGAAAATCACCTAATTTATAGCCCTTATCTTCCAGGTAAATATGGTCTTCCTTCCAAAGACTTACTTCAACAGCTTTTTCAAGCTGGTCAGTCACAGACTGAAGAGGATCATCATAAGCAAAACTTATTTCAGGAACACAAAGATCATTGCTCTTATCTTCCAAATTGACATGTTCTTCTTCCAAAATGTGTGGTTGCTCAACTGCTGATTGAAGATGGACATTTGAAACATAAATCACTGCAGAATCATTGGGTTCATAGCCTTTATCATGTAGATAAACATGTCCCTCCCTCAGAAGATTTATTTCTGTAGTTGCCTCTTGAATTTCATTAGCCACAGAATGAAAAGGTTCATTAGAGTCAAAATTTATTTTAGAATCACTAGGTTCGACAATCTTACCTTCCAAGTCTACAGGCTTCTTCCAGAGGTTGATCTCCTTAACAATTTCCTCAGTTTGGCCAGCCACTGACTGAAAAAGGACATCAGAATCATACATAATTTCAAAACCCTTAGATTTATCCCTCTTCTCTTCCACATCTTCATCCTTCCAAAGGCTTATTTCTTTAACAGTTTCTCTAACCTGGTCAGCCACTGACTGAAGAGGGTCATCAGAGTCAAAACTTATTTCAGAACCACAAGATTTATTGTGTTTATCTTCTAGCTCAATATGCTCCTTCTCCAAAATAGTTATTTGAGATTGATCAACTGTTGACTGAACCAAGAAGTCAGAATCCAAACTCATTTCAGAACTACTATATTGGCTGTTATTATCTTCCAAGTACACATGACCTTCATTCTCAAGGTTTATTTGTTTAACAGCTGCTTCAGGTTGATCAGGCACAGACTGCGGAGAAACATCAGAATCCTGTATTAATTTAGAATCGTTAGGTCTATCGACTTTTTCTAGGCCATTATCCTCTACCTTCCACAGGTTTGTTGTTTTAGTCACTTCCTGAAATTGTTCAGTCAATGGCTGAAGAGGGTCATCAGACTCAAAATTTACTTTACAATCACTAGGTTCCCTTCTTGTGTCTTCCAGATCAACATGTTTTTCCTTTAAAAGGGCTAGCTGAGATTTCTCAGTGACTGACAGATGAGGGGGACCAATATCTAAACTTATTTCAAAATCTCTAGATTCAGTACTTTCATCTTCTGGGTCAACATGGACATCCTCCAAAGCAGCTATCTGAGGTTTTTCAGTCATCGACTGAGGAAGGACATCAGAATCCAAAATTATTTCAGAACCACTATATTTATCACTCTTGTTTTCTAAAACACATTCTTCTTTCTGAACATTAATTTCTTTAACAGCTATTTGAGGTTCAGTCACTGAATGATGAGAGACATCAGAATCCAAATTTATTTCAGAACTGCTAAATTCAGGACTTGTGCCTTTGAATTTAGCATGCTTTTCTTTTTGAAGCCACATTTCTTTAAGTACTACATCAGTTCTTTGAATCACTGACTGAAGAGGAATACCAAAATCCAATCTTGTTTCAGAAACACTTAATTCATTACCTTTATCTTCTAAGTTTATTCGTTCTTCTTTCTGATTTATTTCTTTCACAGCTCTGTCAGGATGATCGGTCACTAAATGAGAAATATAAGATTTCAAACTGATTTCAGGAACACTAGGTTCATTACTCTTGTTTTCTAACTGCACGTGTTCTTCTTTCTGAAGGTCTACTTCTTTAATGGGATCTTGAGAATGTCCAATTGTTGAATGAAAACTATCATAATTCAGACTTAATTCAGAAACACTAGGTTCATTTTCCTTACTTTCAAAGGGCACCTGTTCTTCTTTTTGAAGAGTCGGCCTTTTAACAAGTACTCCAGAAGAATTTGTCACTGAAAGACGAGGGACATAAGAATCCAAACTTATTTCAGAACCACTGGGTTCATCATTCTTCCTTCCTAAGGGTACATAGTCTTCTTTCTGAATGATTACTTCTTTAACAGCTACTTCAGGTTGATCAGTCCCTGAAGGAAGAGGTATATCAGAATCAAAAACTGTTTCAGAAACACAAGTTTCATTCTTCTTATATTCCTGATCAGTATGTTCCTCCTCAGCTACTTGAGACTGGTCAACTGCTGAGCAAAGAGGAATATCAGAATCAAAAGTTATTTCAGAACTATTTGACCCACAGCTCTCATCTTCCAGGTTAATGTGCTTTTTTCTTATTTCTTCAACATTCAGCTCAGAATGCTCAGGAACTGACTGAAGAGGGGGATCAGAATCAAAAGTCAACTCAGAACTGGAGCACCCATAGCTCTTAACTTCCATGTCAACATTTTCTTTCATATTTATTTCGCCCAGAGCTCCATGAGGTTGTTCATTAGCTGACTGATAAAGAGAAGCATGAGAAATAACACTTAGATCAGAAACACTAGATTTAGCACTCTTATTCTGCAGGTCAACAGCTACTTCTTGAGGGTTTACTTCCTGAACTGTTTGAGGTTGATCAGCCACTAATTGAGCATCAGAGTGGATATTCATTTCAGGACTATAATATTCACAGTTCATATCCACAAGGTCATTCTTCTCTTTTGGAAGATTTATTTCTTCAGCAGCTCTCTGAGGTTCATCAGTCACTGCCTCAGGAGAGATACCACAATCAAGATGTGCTTTAGCACTACTGGATTTGTGGTTGTCTTTCAGGTAGACAGGCCTATCCTTCAGATTTCTTTCTTTGACAGCCAGTTTGGGATGGACAATTACTGACTGAAGAGGTACATCACAATCAAAACTTGTTTCTGAACAACTGGATCCATAGTTCTTATCAACCAAGCCAGTGTGAACCTTCTTCTGAAGTTCTGTTTCAGTGACAGTCACTGGGAGTCGGTCAATCACTGACTGAAGTGGTAAAACAGAATCGGCACTTATTTCAGAGCTACTAGATCCATAGTTCTTATCCACCAATTCAATGTGTGCCTCCTTAGGAAGGTCTACTTCTTTTGCAGGCTGTTGTGCATAGTCATCAGTTGGCTGAAGTGAGGTATCACCATCAAAATTCATCTCAGAATCACTAGAATCATAGCTTTCATCAACCAGGCGAACACGCACTGCCTTCTGAACACTAATGCCTTTAACAATCACTTGAATTCGGTTGGTAGCCAACTGAAGAGGGCCATTGCAATCAGAACTTATTTCAGAAACATAAGCTTTATTATTCTTATGCTGCAAATCAGCACATCCTTCCTTTGAAAGGTTTGTTTCTTTGGCAGTCACTTTAGATTGGTTAGTCAGTGAATAAAAAGAGGAACTGCAATCAAAACTCATTTCAGAACCTCTTGACTCATAGGTCTTATCTTCTTGGTCAATTTGCTCCTCACTCTGAAGGTCTTGTACAGCCGCTTCAGGTTGAACAGACACTGACTGAGAGCCACAAGCAAACTCCATTTTAGAACTCACTGCGTTTTTCTGTTCCAAAGAGGCTGGCTTGTTAAAAACCAAATGCTTTTTTTCTTGGGTATGATCCATATTAGGAAAGAATTTCTCATGGTGCTTTGGAATGGCACCTTCAAAGATTCCTTTATTAGAAGGCATATCAGTTTTATTCAGATTGATTGCTGGGTTATCTGCTAACTTGGAAAGAGATTCAATTTTTAAGGAGCCTTCAGTACCCATTAATGTATGAGATTTAAAGCCAGTTGACAAAGTTTTACCCCGAGATTTTACATCTTCCTGTATAATCAATTTATCTGAATTTATACATACAGATTCTGTATTTGATTCTTTAGGTTTCAGATGTAAAAGTGAAGAAGTTTCTAGATGGGATGAGAGCATAGGATTTCTAGAGCCCCCGTCTCGCTGTTCAAGATATCTGTCAACTTTGTTTGGATCACATTTGTTACCTGAATCCAAATTGGCCACTAGTGGTAAGCTAGTAGTACTAGTTATAACTGGTCGAGCATAAGAACTTTCAGGTAAATGACGAGCAGGAGCAGTAGAAATCACTGAGGGACATAATAGGTTTTTTCCATTATTTGTATCTTGACCAACACCTACTGGATTAAATTCTTTCAAGCCACTCCCAATTTTATAAACAAATTCCAAGGGCTGCTGTTGCCCCTTCTCCAATTTTTGAATAACTGAAGGTCGAATTGGAACACCCTGTATACATTCCTGAGATTTACTAGGTCTAGAATACAACTCTTCAATAGGTTCAGAACTTCTGGTGGCTATCTCTCCTCTGACTCCAGTAGCATTATTAGCCATTTCTTCAGAAACAGAATCATCAATTGGAACCACTTCAGAAGGTGCCGCATTATTCCTAAGAGGTCTCTCATTTTGTCTTGATCTAAAAAGAAAAGGGGAAAATCATAAAAATACTCTAATATTACTGTTTAAAATATTTAAATAAAGACACAATGTTGTTTTCTTTTTATCCTGGGTCAGATTCTTAGAGGATAAAGAATTAAGCCAATCACACAAGGCTGTATAATGCATTTCAGGAAAGTAATCAGTGCAGATGGAGGTAGCTCCACCAATTGCTACTCAATAAACAGAAGTGGCTCCTAAACAGAAGAAAAATGTAAAGTCATACATTATTTTTCAGTTATCAGAGCAGTAAATAGCAAAAAGCTTAATGCAAGTTACTTAACCTTTTAGGCTTTAGTTTCCTCCTCCAAAAAAAGCAGATAATAATATTTCCCTTGTGAGACTGTTTTGAGAAATAAATTAGTTGTTACATGTAAAGAGCATTTTTTTTAAATCCTGGAAAACAGTAATCATTCGCAGATATTAACTATTATTATTTTAACACACTGTTTTGGCAAAGGTGCAATGACAGACACTTTAATACATTATTGGCAGGAGTATAGATTAATCTCTATGAACAATTTGGCAATGCCTATTAAAATTGAAAATGTCAAGAGAAGTCTAAGGACAAGTTAATGTAATATGATTATCCTGGATGGGATCCTGAAACACAAAAAGACATTAAGCAAAAACTAGGGAAATCTAAGTAAACTATAGAATTCAGTTAATGTATTACATTGGTTCATTAATTGTAACAAATGTACCATACTAATGTAAGATGTTATTAATAGGGAAACTGGATGAGGGGATATATAAAAACTCTCTGCACTATCTTAATTTTTCTGTAAATCTAAAACTACCTAAAAATAGTCCATTTAAAATGATAAATAAAAAATTTTAAATATATTGACACCTAAAAAATACCTTTATTAAGCGTTTTTAAATTTGAGAGACGTCATAATTGCCTGAGAGAATATGCATACATGTGTTGTCCACATGTAACTTTTTTTAAACATGTCATAGCTGTTACTATTATTCTCTTTCCCATAAAAAAATATCACAATTAATATCAAGATAATGTTTTTGGTATTTGTAAAATAAAAATGTTAACCCTGGTATCAAAATAGTATCATGATGGGCAAAAAATTTCCATAATTTTTCATACCTCTCAACCATAATCAATAAAATTGCAGTACAATAATCACTTTGCCCTAGTTTTTCAGAACCCTAGTAGAGTATCTCCATTTGTCTTAAACATTCACAACGTTCTCAAAATAAAATCAATTTTGTATCATTTGGCTATGAAAAGAGAGAAAGAAAAGACAGACAAGCAGAATCATAAAATACAAAAAATAGCAAAATTCCAAAAAGGTTAGGAATCCTCATTTACATGCTTTGATTTGCATCAATATTTGTGTGTGTGTGTTTAAAATTAACAACTAAATCATCATCTGTATTTATACTCATTTAAAACTAATTTTACAACAAAAAAGCCCTCCAAAAATCTAATGACTAAAAGTTAAAAACCACGCTTTTCTGAAACTCTTTTGCTTAAAAGGGAAATTTTTTAAACTATCTATAATTACAGCAAAGCTATATATCAAAATCTATGAGACGTCAAAATAGAAACTTCACACTTTTAAACCTTCCATTAAAAAAAGAATTAGTAAACAGAAGTTAACTAAATGAACACCTAATTCAAGAAGATAGAATAACCAAATTCCTCCCCCAAAAAGAGTTGAGGAAATAAATTAAGAAAAAGAAAAACCAAAAAATAGGAAACAAAAATAAAGCAAGAGCTGATTTTTAAGAAGGCTAAACTGTCCAGACATGAAGGCAAGAGAGAAATTTTTTTAAAAGTACAATTTAGAAAGCTTATAAACATAATTAAATAATGCGGTGTTGGCATGGGATTAAACAACTCAAGGAAAACAACTGTATTCAAAATCAAATATACAGATACGCAAATTTAGGAATTTAGTTTATGTTGCAGATGACATTTTATACCAGTGGAGATAATTAATACACATTTATAAAAAATAAGAAGTCCTGCCTCACAGCACATATTTTTAAAATTCCAGGAAGATTAAAAGTATTTGAAAGAAGAAACAAGGGCATAAGAAAAGACATGAAAAAAGTCATGAAGGGAAATTCCCCTTAGATCTAATTATATCAAAATGTTTAATTTCTGTATCATAAGAGATATACACAATTGAAAGACATAAAACAAATTCTGAGAAAACATTTACAACACATTTAAAATACAAAGGCATAGGATACATAAATATTGCATACAAATTCAAAATATACAAACAATTCAATAGAAAAACAGGCAAAGTATTATAACAATTCAGAGGATAAATATATGTCTAATAATTACATAAAGAGAGAAGTTCCATTTTACTTACAAATAAAGAGAGACACTTTTTTGGCCTATTATGTTAGGGAGAACAAAAAAGATTGATAATCCCAGTGCTGGCAGGAGTGACAAGAAAGGAGCACTCTCATATACTATTGGTGTGTATGTCTAAACACCAGTTTTATAAATACACAAAACTGACCAGCCTTACTGTCACCAGTTTTCCTGTGGCTAGTCTTTTAAAAGCGATTTTTGTTGCCACATTTTTCCCGTGCTATAATCCTGACATAATTATAAAATATCTTGATATATAATTATTTATTGGCCTAGAACTTTTATTGGGAAAGAAGCATTATACAGTCCAGAACTTTTATAGTGAAATGTGCTACTTTAGCTAGGGAAAATTTAAAAAATAATTGCAAAGGGAAGTTACTAGATAAAATTTCACATTATATTCCCAGATTCAAAGATGCACTTTAAGAAGTACTGAAACATTAACACAAATATCTACTATGACATATAATAACTATGTACTCATATTATCCCACTGTTAATTTACCTGCTTTCTTGATAATGATATGGGTGGTGCCGCAGTACGTCCTGCAAGAAACGTTCCATCAAACTATTGGAACCACCCATCCGTTGTCTATTCTGTGTGGTCAAGTACATATGCTGAGGACTGGACATATGCTATAAAGAAGAAAGAAACTTGAGTATTTTTAAATGGGTAATATTCAGTAGTGAGAGTTTCATAAAATGGATTCATTTATATATATACCCCTGGTAGAAGTATAAATTGAAATATCCTTTCTATAAAGCAATTCTAAAATATGCATCTAAAATCTGTAAAATTATCTTTCCCTTAGATATAATAATTACATATCTCTAAATCTCTCCTAAGAGAATCATCTTAAATGTGGGTGATTTGTGCAAAAAATGATGCTATTACAGCATAACAAAAAAGCTGAAAATCTCCTCAAATCCTTAAATTATCATGCAGCTACCTATAATAATACAAAGACTTTTAATAACATAGCGAACTATTACGTTTTAGGAAATGCAACAATCACATGTATGCTTTCATCTGGGTCATGACGTTTGCATATGATCAGTACTCATTGATGACTAATCTTCCAAAGGGGTTATTCCAATTAATACCCTCACCAGTGGTGTGTCATAGTCTCCATTCCTCTACTTCCTCATCAACACTTGATATTGTCTCTTTAATTTTTACTATTGTAGAGGGGTTTTCATATTATCTCACTGTGGCTTTAATTTACAGTATTTGTGATAGCTTTTCATATTTACTGGCCATGTGGATAACCCTCTTTCATGATGTGTCTGTTTCAAGTCTCTTCCTCTGTTTCAAATAGATGTTCTTTTTTAAACAAATTATAGAAAATATTTATTCTGAACATGAGCTCTTTTGTTCAATTACATGTGTTTCAAGTATTATCTCCCTCTCTGTGGCTTGCCTTTTCACTTTGTGTGTCTGTGCATGTGTGTGTTCATAAATAAAGTTTTACTGGTGTGTACCCACATAAAGTACATCCAAGAAGAGTTACAGGGTACCTTTTTGCTTTCCTAATCATCTTCTATTGTTTCTTAGCTGCAGTCCAGTTTACCAATTTTTTTGTCAGTGCTTCCTGTGACCAGTTTAGGAAACCTTTTCCTATCGCAAAGTCATGGAGACTTTCACCTATTTGTCTCTAGAAGCTATACTGTTTTACTTACAATATTTACATCTATAATGTCCTTGGAATTGATTTTTATATCCAGGATGATTTAGTAATAAAGTTTCATTTTCCCCCCATATGGATATCCAACTGAACCAGGATCATTTATTGATGAAAGTATAGTAGTCATCACTGCTCTTTAATGCGACCTCTGTCACAAATCAAATATGCATGTATGTGTCTCTTCCTGGAGTTTCTGGTTTATTCCCATGGTCTTCCTAACTTGGCACCACTGTCTTAATGACTATAGCTTAAAAGTTGATATCTGCTACAGTAAATCCTCTGACTTTGCTCATCTTTAAGATTAGTATTCTGCTTCTTCTTAGCCTTTTGCATGTCTATACAAATTTTTAGAGTTTTCATTTTAAAAATTTGATGGAATTTTTATTGGAAGGTCATTGAATCAATACCAGTTTGGACAGAACTGACATGTTTACAATATTTATTTTTCTTTTTCTTTTTTTTTCTTTTTTTAAATATATCTTTATTGATTCCAGAGAGAGGAAAGGAGAGGGAGAGAGAGAGAGAGAAACATCAATGATGAGAGAGTCATTGATTGGCCGCAGCCCAAAACCGGGGCATGTGCCCTGACCGGGAATNCATCAATGATGAGAGAGTCATTGATCGGCTGCAGCCCACAACTTGGGCATGTGCCCTGACCGGGAATCGAACCCCGATCGCCTGGATCCTAAGTCGACACTCAACCGCTGAACCACGCCCGGCAGAGCTACAATATTTATTTTTCTAATCCATGAANATGTGCCCTGACCGGGAATCGAACCCCGATCGCCTGGATCCTAGGTCGACACTCAACCGCTGAACCACGCCCGGCAGGGCTACAATATTTATTTTTCTAATCCATGAACATGGTATAACACACCAATTATGTAATTTTTCTTAAATTTCTCTCAATGTTTAGAATTTGCTTTATAAAGATCATACACTTATTTTGTTATATTTATTCCTTAAGAATTGTGTCCTTTGAAGCTGTTGTAAGTATCTTTTTTTTTTTTTTTTACTCATTTTTAGAGAGAGAGAGAAGGGGAGAGGGAGACAGAGAGAAACATCTATGTGAGAATCAAACACCCATCAGCTGCCTCCTGTATGCCCCCTATTTGGAATCAAACCAGCAACCTTTCCATGCAGGGAATGATGCCCAACCAACTTAGCCACACTGGCCAGGGCATACCTATTTTTTTTTAAATCATTTTCTGTGTTATGTTTGTATATAAAAATACAATTTCTTTTTATGTTGGCCCAACAAGCCTTTTTAACTCAATTCTGTTTATCTAGGTAACTTCAGAATTTCCTATTCCACAATCACATAGTGTGCAAATAATAGTTTTATTTATTCTTACCTAATTTTTATCATTTTATTTCTTTTCCTTTCCTTATTTATCTGACTGGATGTCTAATAAAATATTGCATATAGTTTAATGCAAGCATCAAATCTATTTTCCCCTAATACATTTGGATTTAATCTTTGTTTTTATTTTTAAATCTGTTTTTATTATTCTTGCTAATACAATGTCCCTATTTCCCTTCTTCCTTGCCTTCTTGTGAACTATTTTTTATTATTCCAATTTGTCCCTTTCTATTATGGTAGTTAGATTCTTTTTCTGCTCCATTAGTGGTAAGAGATTATATCAAGCAACCTGACCTATCAAAGTCTAAAATTACTCATTACTTTACTCTCTTCTTGAGCAATGCAAAGTCAACAATTAACTCAATTTACTTTCTTTCCAATTTATATGCCACTGCTGTTAATCCCATGAGACATTAGTCTTTTTTTTTTTTTTATATATACCTTTACTGATTTCAGAGAGAGGAAAGGAGAAGAAGAGAGAGAGAAAAACATCAATGATGAGAGAGTCATTGATCGGCTGCCTCCTGCATGCCCCCTGCTAGGGGTTGAGCCTGCAACCCAGGGATGTACCCTGACCAGGAATCGAACTGCGATCTCCCGGATCCGAGGTCGATGCTCAACCTCTGAGCCACGCCGGCCGGGCAGACATTAGTCATTTACATTGCCTACGTATTTACCCTTCCATTGCTCTTCATTCCTTCCTATCTCTCTGAGCTTCCAACTGGAATTACTTTCCTTCTACCTGAAGAACTACTTTTGCTATTTCCTTTAGTATGGGTCTGCTGGACAAATTTCCTTAATTTTTGTCTTCTGAAAATGTTTTTATTGAACCTTCTTTTTTAAATGATATACTTATTAAGTACAGAATTCTAAGGTAGTGTTATTTTCTTTCTTTTGGCTTCCACTGTTTCTGTTGAATATTCAGCTACATCTGAGCCCCTTATTTCTTCACTGCCTTAATAGTTCTCCAAAGCCTTGAAGTAAAAATATGTATCTATACACACATATATTTTCAAGCTTTTACAGTCAGTACAAATTACCTTGGCTGTCATTAACAGTCTTTTAAAATGTCAGTTTAGTGCAGGAATATCCAAATGTCTAAAAATTATTTTAAACTTCAAGCAAAAAAATTATATGAAAGCTTACTGCATAAAACTTGTTAAAGGGTTAATGTGTTTTATTATTATCAAAGGTTCAACAAATAATCTCCCAGTCAAGTGATGATATAATTTGAGAAAAATATTAAAAAGAGCTTTGAGATTTATTATCTGCTTCATGTTTATAACCAATATTAAAAAAGTATTTCTTTTTTGAAAGGTGGAGGTATGGAAATTACAATAATAAAAACTTTTCCTTAGTGTGAATTTAAGTGATTAATATTAGATAATTAAACAAAGCAAATGCTACCAAACAGCAGAAATTTTACACATTATAAATATAAAACTGTGTTTGATATAAGGTGAAACAGTTAGCACTAGTAGAACCAGAACTTCATTATACTATAGTTTCACCTATGACATAATTCCCTTATGAAGATAAATGCAAAACTACTCAACAAAATACTAGCAAACCGAGCCCAGTAACATATAAAAAGGATTTACACCATGATCAAGTGAAATTTTTCCCAGGAATGCAAAACTGGTTTAAAATCTGAAACTTAGTCAATTGTAACTGTTTATAAGACTAAATTCTGTTACCCTCCCCCCAAGCAATTTTTATGTTGAAGTTCTAACTGCCAATATGACTATATTTAGACATAGGGCTTTTAAGAGGTAATTAAATCACATCATATAGAAAAATGAACTCAAAGTAAATGAAAGACCTAAATGTAAGAGCCAAAACTATAATACTCTTAGAGGAAAACACAGGCATAAATCTTCATGACCTTGGATAAGGCAATCTTGATGACACCCAAAACATAAGCAGCAAAAGGAAAAGAAGTTAAATTCAACTATTGCAAAATTTATAAAACTTTTGTGCATCAAAGCATAAAATTCAAAGTCCTTACCTTATTTTAGAATGTCTTACAGAATCTAATGCTCTGAATTATTTGCCTATCACTCAACACCCACGCCCACCTCACACCCTACCTCTACTATAGCCACAATGGCCTGCTGGATTTTGGTTAGCATGCCAACCAGCCATCTGTCTCAGGATGTCTGTGCTTGCTCTATCTTCCCTCTACCTAGAAATTCTTCCCCAGAGAAAAGCAAGCCTGGCTCCCACACTTCATTCAAATCCCAGCCTTACTTAGCCACACTACCTAAAATTAAACTCCCTCCCTTAATTTCCCTCATAATATTTATCACAATCTGACGTATTATGTACTAAATTTATATGACTATTTTCTGTTTTATTGTATCTTAATGTAAGCTTCATAAATAAAGGGACCTGGTTTTGTTCATGGTCACATCCCTAGAACCTTAAACAAGTGTCTATCAACTAGTAGGTTCTTATTATGATCTATTCAAGGAGTGAATAAATAAATTGAATAAAATGTGAAAGAAGAGGAAGTCACTACTAAGTCCTTTGAGGTATAGTAACCATATTAATACGATCTTCTCACCTGATCCAGATTAGTATAGGGCACACAGCAATAGCTGCAATATCCTTGTCTGCCCTGCATGTTGAAGATCAAAGTCAAAAGGTACTGTCGTTGAATGCTCAAACTGGAAAAAAAAACAGCAAAATCACAATAATTCCTTACCATCACAAGGAAAGTACTATGATGATATCAGAGAACAGAAATTCATTCTTGAGTCCTAACCACCCTTATATCTCACAATTAAGGAAACAGATAGGCTTCTTTCCCTGAGCTCTGGAATCAATCAGTGAGCCTGGAGTGGAGATGATAGCATTATTAGGACTGATACAGTATTGAAGAATATCATACTCCATTTTAAAGACAAATTACTATTTCTAAGTTGTTACTGTAGTATATTTACTCTACACCAATGAAGCGCATGAATTTTCCCATGTTTCTATACAAAATCCCAGATTACTTGAATTGCCAGTTCATATATAACATCTAATTCTCTGTCCTGAGAGGAAAGATACCACTTGTATTTTGTGCTGAGTCCAGAAAAAGACAGATTTTGAAATAATTTACCCAACAAAGTTGCTAAAAATCAAAATAACAAACGCAAGACATTTCTCTCTGATAATTACATAAACCAAATAAATAAGGACTTTTTCCCCCCAAGTGGTGTAATGAGGTTTCTCTACAAACAGTTTCCGATTTTCTACCCCTTAAAACTATACTCCTTCAACATTGCATACTGCAGCGGTTTTCAAATCAGAATGAGTAACAAAGTCATCCCCCAAAATTCTGACTTAGTAGAGCTGAGACAGAGTCTAGAATTTAGAATTTTTTTTAATTCCCAAGTAATTTTGAAACACAGCCAATGCATTCACTAACACAATGTGTATATAGTTTATGATTATTTTAAATAACAAATTCAATACAACGCAGTTTCTGCTGCATCTTCTTAATGTTAAAATAGAATTGGAAGAAACAATTTTATCACATTTTTAATTCTAATTATTTCAACACTGTATGTTAAATACATAACAGAATGATTCTACAAGTGTTAGGAATATTTCTGATAAGAAGGATGGGATGACCCTCCAACAGGAAAAGTTTACTTATTAAAATCAATGTTTAAAAAATGGTATCAGAACCTTAAAACCAGTAAGATGAGAATAGAAAAAAAGCTTCATCGTGAAAATGCTGTAACATTCACTTACCTATAACTTTTTGAGAAACTTTGACTTTTTTACTTCCCACACTTAGGAGGAAAGTGAATCAATTAAACCAGCCTCTGAAATAAAGAATATATAAGAAGTTATTTACTTACAATGTGGTTTTATTTCCATTAATTTACTTCATTTGTAATTTGAAGCAACAAATGAAACAAGCTTTAAGCTGTATTATAGATATGAACATTTTCAGATTGAGAGAACCCTAGAACTTCTTAAACTTAAACTATGAAAGTCATTGAATAAAAAACTTTTTGTGCTTTATTTAAAATACAATTAAAGCATTCACTGAATGAAAGGCAAAGTGAAAGTATGAGTCTAATATCACACATACACAAAATTTAAATGCTTTAAATATTTTTTAAATCTTTAACCCGTATGTCCTTCAACTCCCAAGGCATTATTACCTGCCATTTCCATCATCTCTAAGGTCATATACATGCTACAACAATGAGCTACAATGAATCAGAAGCACTTGTTGGTATTTTTTTAAAACTCACATGCTATGACCCACTGAAAAAACTTACTGAATTAAAATCCGAAGGTGAGGAGACAGGCCGATGCATATCATGCATATTTAAAACGCTCCCGGGTGCTTCTGATATAGATTGAACCAATAACATATCACCTTTTTTATGTACTAATAAAATTATTACTTAAAGGGATCATTTCTTTGGGGTCCAGGATTATGTTATGTTGCACTCTGAATTCTACTGGTACCTGACATTTTTAAGAAGTAGCAAATCATTTACCTTCAGCAGAAAAGGGCAGGTATTTATTTCATCAGCTGTATTAGTCCCGGCAATCATCTGTAAATTAAAACAATCTTCTTAAAAGATAAGCTCCAGAAGTGTCTACCATTTGTCAAATAAACACCTCCCAGTTATATTTAAGTTAAAAAAGTGACACAATTAAGTTTCCAATAATAAGAAAAAAAAATATTAACTTTTGAACACAAAGCACTCCACATGGCCTCCTAAGACGCTCTGGAACAGACTAACTGTGATAGCCCATATGACCCCCATCAAATACATCAGATCTCTGGGGTCGGAGAACAGCAGCTTTAAAAGAATGTAAGGCAAAACCGTGCCTCTAAGGTTAGGAACAAAGATACCATCAAACCCAAAATAAGCTTCATGAGAAACTTATAAAAGAGATATTTATCTGAAATTCAGTTTAGGCTCTGCACTAACTGCCCAACTCCTAGCTCCTGTGTTAGTTTTAATGAAAGATACTGTCAATTCTTTATCATCTCTATTGAAAATTCAGCCAAATTACCAATTTTTTTATTTTTCCACACAGCTGTGGACAAAGTGTTGACTCTTGCCCAGAATTGCTGGTTAACAAAAAATGCCAATGCTTTAACTCAAAAGAGCTGGTGACACCCTGTATATTGAAGGAATAGATATTGAGCACCTATCCTGTGTAAGGTTTCAAGGTAGAAGCTTTAAGGGATAGACAAGCTTTCTTGCCCTTAAGAAGTTTAAAATGGAATTGAGAAATTAATGCAAAAATACCAAGTGGTATCTGAGAAACGCCTAAGCACAAATAATAACTGTTAATAGGTTTTAACCAGAGGGGTCAGGATGCACAGTAGATACGAGGTTTTTTTTAACTGGAAATTGGAAAATAGGTAGAATTTGCTTACACAAAGGTCAGGAAAAGATATTCCAAGTTCAAAAAAGCAAAAGTACAAAGGCAGGAAAAGCACAATGTATATTTGGAGATATTAAGTTGACAAGTTCAGATGGAGCTAAGGTTTCATTTAAGAATTTAAGAGGCAATAAAGCAAAAAGAGTAGATTGAGTTTTGACATGATAGGGTTTAAAAGCAGACTAAAGACTCTAGACCATATTTTTAGGCAGTATGGTAATATTTTGGAAAGCAATGTATTATACTCAAAGAGTACTTTAAGAAAATTCTGGAACAATGGTTCTTTCCTACTCAAAGGAGCTTTTCACAAGGTAAGGAATATAACTGTTAAACTATTCAGCACCGCTTCCTAAAATACTGGAGAAATTAATTTATACCCAAAATATTCAAGTTCAAAGAATCAGTTATCCCTTAAAACAAAAATTTAGTCCCATTATGCTTGCAAATTAGGAAAACACTCACAAATTTTTTTCTTTAAAAAACTGCTTTTATTTTTATTATGAAAGTAAAGCATACTTATTATAATAAAAGTATAAAACTAAAGAAATAAAGAGCATAAAAATCAGCCACAACCCCACCATCCACCATTAATTAACATTTGCCATATATTCTTCTTTGTTCTAAACATGTTTTTATAAACATGGAATAGATTTGATCTATTTATTCTGTAGCCTCCTCTGTCACCTAACCATACATGATAGAGCACCTCTATATATTACATAATTCCAAAACAGAATGTTTAATAGTTGCATAGTATTTCTCTCATTTTATTAGTGTAAGATAAAAGCCCTCTTACCTGACAGAAACCAATAATTGGTGAACTTCTAAAAAAATTAGCCAGTAAGATGATTTAAAAAATACATATACACATAATCTTACTATTTTATCTAACTTAAAATATAGAATTGCATATAGGTTTTAGGTCAAATTAGGCTTGTTTCACTGAGGTTTTTTTTTTGTACATAGGACAGCTAGAGTTCCAAGTCATCTTTTTTTCATTCTTTCAAAACCCTTACACTCAACAAGTTTCCATTTTCATTCTCTAAAGCAGAACAAAAACTTTAAAAAGACAGATTCAAAACTGAGAGCACCTTTACGATTGTTTAGGATTTTGTCCAACCTTTTAAAGTTGTCATACCCAATTAAGTATTTTTGTAAATGCCTTTTTTTTAGTCCAAAGCATTCAATTTATTTTTCATAAATATAACAATGCTATAAAATGACAATGCTTACACTCTTATTTCATTGGTTTATGTAACATTAAAAACTGCATAAAGCTACCTGGGGCAGTGAACAGAGACTGAATTGTCTGAAAGGACTTTAAAAACTAAAAATGTTTTGTGTGTTTTTTTGAGGCTATTTCTTGCACACCTGAGACCTGTACCTGTTTTGTTAAAATTAGTTCAGAGCTGTAGTGTGTAAGTTTCTTAAGTTCACTTTGGTGCTGAAATAAAAGCTAACAAAATCCAGAATCCCTGTGGGAAATATTTGTCAACAGCCTGACAGACACCGATTTACTAGAAAAGACAAAGAAGGGCAGTTGGTCTATTGAATAAAATAATTTAAATTACCTCTAGGAATACGGATACGATTAAGAAGCAATCACAAAACAATAGCCAAATAATATTTTTTTAATTGTAATTCAGTGTCTCTTTCTTTACAATGTTAAACTGACTTTCAACTTCCCATTTTTCTGTATTACCCCCNCTTTCTTTACAATGTTAAACTGACTTTCAACTTCCCATTTTTCTGTATTATCCACTTTATGCTGGTGTAGCTCTGGTGACAAGCATTATCCTGGACACCTCAATTCAGTCGTATTAAAATAATAATAGCTAGCTTTTAGTGAGTACTTAATCTGACCCAGGCACTATGTCAACAGTTTTACAAGCGTTATTTCATCTGAGTATCAAACAGCCTCATGAGGTTGGGGTTATAATAGCTCCTACTTTACAAATCTAAGAAACTGAGGTTTAGAGAGAAGCAGCGGTATCTTGTTCCAGGTCACAAACCAATAACCAGTGTAGCTAGGATTTGACCCTAGCAGTTTATGCTCTTATCCTCTTAACTGTTATAAAATGCTTCCTCTCTGTATTTTCGGGAATGCTAATTACTTATTTTAATATTAGGTGAAAGCAAATAATTAGAAATCTAATTCGCTGCAATAAACACTGTCACATATTCCAAAGGAAAGAGTAAAATAAAGCTAATATTTAGCTTAAATGCATCACTGCTCCCACTGAGATGAGTGCTGACAGTATCTTGGATTAGTGACTTTCAAAATTAAATATCGTGGCACAAGAAAGCAATACATTTTATACCACAATCCAGTACGCTCCCGTAGGTACACATGAAGGCACCCACGAACACACAGTTTTGCAAAACAATACCTTCATGATGAGTAATGTAAAGCATTCTGGTATTTTCTATGCTATTTTATTTCCTTTTTTTTTTTTTAAGTGCTAGTTACGACTCACCAAGTTAATTCACAATTTACCAATGGATTGAAAACTGCAATTTGTAAAAACACTGCCTCAAATTCTTAAGCAGAGCAAACAATATTTTATAGAAAATGGTTGTTTGTTACCCTTAATTCAATTTCTTTCCATCCACTATCTTGGCCATTACAGTGATACTTTATCAAATCTTTAACGAGTGTCTTTACTAAGGCTGACCGTTGGCCAACGTGCAGGGAGNGGTTGTTTGTTACCCTTAATTCAATTTCTTTCCATCCACTATCTTGGCCATTACAGTGATACTTTATCAAATCTTTAACGAGTGTCTTTACTAAGGCTGACCGTTGGCCAACGTGCAAAATCACTGCCTACCACGCTTTGGATCTAAATCAGTGCAAGTTGAGAAGGCAGTGGAGGGATGTTTAAGCATCGATATAGAAAAAGTCTTCGATGTATTAAGTACAAAAAGATCATATCAGTACCCCAAATATGCAACACACGAATATAATTTATGAACTCCAAATTGTTAACAGTGACTCACTGTTGAACATGAGGTTGCTATGGGCTTTTTCAGTGGGTTTTTTTCCTATTAGTACATATTTGCTATAAAATATACATATATGAAATTCAATTCTGGGGGGTAAAAAACGTTTTAGTTCCTTGAGAGCCAGTATCTCGTTACGCATTTCTTCCACGCGCTACCAGAATCATCCCGTCGGACAATGTGAGGAGCTGGAAACGGCCTTTTTAGGAGCACGTAGTGACGCCGGCGTAATTTGACCAGATTTACACAACTGTTGCACGGCGATAGTAAAATGATCGTTAACCAAAAAAAGCCAACAAAACAAGAAACCTAACGTTTCCCAAATTCTAATCGGACGAGGCTAGTGAAGGCCTAGGTCCGGGGGCCGCTGGCCACAGCGCGGGGCACGGGGGGAAGGGGATTTTGTGGACAGGTGGCTCCCGATCTCGGTCCCACAGGTGCCCGTGCAAGTCCCCGCGGGTCCCAAGCCCTAACGCCGACCTCC